AAACAATCATACATATACAATGTATTTAAAGCATAGTCATATTCAATGACAACCAGCAAGAGATTAGTTTCAGTTCACCTAATTCTCATGCAATTTCTACAACAATCATAGCTATCCTCCACCGATAGCCCAATACAGATATTTCTAAACAGTTATTCAATCTCAAGGCAAATAATTTATTCAAATTCCAAAAGGTGTGAGGTAACACATATCCAACTCCACCATTTATATCAACGCCCATCCAATTTTACGTTTACAATACCAATTTCATTTATTTATTCAAAATTAATATTTGAGACATTTTAAGGAAAACTTCCATCTTTCCCAAATATCAACCCAAAGGTCAAAATCAACTATTTTGTCGCATTATAACCTCATATTCAACCCCATGATCATTTATAACTCATTCACTTAGGAATCCCTCTTTTAATTTAATACCCAAACCCTAAGTTTCTTCATAATACCCCCAAATTCAACCATTTTCACACACCAACCCATAACTAAGTTAAAAAAATCATATGAAAGTATAAAAAATCCATACCTCAAAAAGAAAAGATGAGCCAAGTAAGGGTGAAACCTCAAAGATGCTAAAACCTAACTCTATTCGGATCAAAATGGAGATCTTGAGACGTACTAACTTTTTAACAAAGGCACATGGGTAGAGAGATCGCTAGATCTAGGTGAAAATGTAGTGAGAATGTGAGTTTTAGAGAGAGAGACTCTAGATCTAAAGTTCTTGAAAAGAGGAGAGACAGAGGGAGAAAAGTGAAAAAGTGATGTAAAATAACCTCTTTACGAACTAATATACGCATAGTCTGCTCGAACGCAATGAGTGACACTCGAGCATCAGACATAATAAGTTTTTCTGCTCGAGTGTTAAGACACAAAAACAAAAAGGCAGTATCACTCGAGCGCAAGAAGTGCCACTCGAGCGTAGAATACACACATCCAGTAGTTTTGCAAACAGAAGACCATCGTTCGAGTGCAAGATTGGCCACTTAAGCGCATACCCGCTCGAGCGTAGAATACATCCTCCCAATATTTTTGTAGGCCTGTAAAAGTATTGAGAGTTTGCAAATCCCGCTTGAGCGCAAGAAGTACCGCTCGAGTGGAGGCCCAAAAATCTGGGCAACTAAAGTTTGAAAACCAAACATTCAACCTGTTTCAAACGCAACATGACAAACCATAAACCAAACTAAAGGAAGTATAAGGGAGGTAAGACATGAACAACATTCAAAAACTATGAAACCCGAGTCCAGGATACAAAAGGGTCGGGTCTAAACCAGAAACGTTATAACCTCCTCCCCTTAAAAAATTTCGTCCCCGAAATTACAAATCAAGTTTTAAAACTAAGTCAAACCAATTACAACAATGACAATCATTGAATTTCATTACCATGACCCATTCTCCGGTCATCCAGTCTCATCATCCAGATAAACTAATTCTTAACATTGAATATACAATTCATACTTTCTCGAGACATATGCAATGTTTGTAATAAACTCATATTTCCAAAATGTAAACAACATATACAATGTTTCCACCTTTCCAAAACATATACAATGTTCTCATATTTTATTAATCATAACCACAATACAATACATGTTCAAACATCAGCACTCCGATGGACAAGTGGTTTGGAAATACTCTCCTGATCCTGGGAGACGCTCGTGATCCTCAAATAGACACCTAAAAAGAAATGAACACTCCGGTCGGGGGTGCCGAAATTAGTACTCCGATGGACAAGTCAGTCTCTACTCTCTCTGGGTTACTTGTATTTTAAGTTAAGCATACTAGTTCTCACATACCTTTCTTCGACTGTTGTTCCTTTATTTATACTCGTTTCCAGGGCCTCAGGGCCTGGTCCCCTTTTCGCTCACTATCCGCTTATTTATTCGGCCCCATAGTTCAATAGTTACTCGGCCTATTTATTGTATTCGGCCTTCTGCTCATGCAGGTTAGAGCCGAGTAATGTCTATCTTCTAGAGCGTATGCTTCTGATTCTGCTATTTATTCTGCTCCCACAATTGCCTTCCAAACTCCCTATTGACGACAGTTAATTGGTGTGTTTGGTTTCGAATTTGAAAAGTTAAGAGAAACATAAGTTAGGCAGCTTCACCTATCCCAATGTGAATGTCAGAACGCACACGCCTCTCGATCATCGTTATATGTTCCCGCCTCATTCGTACATCTTTTGCATTTATTATGATTTGAAACTCCAATCTCTTTGAATGCATGCTTTTTTGAATATTTGAGCCTCCTGGATTGCCAGCCGGTATCTCTCCTCTATCTCGCGTCTTCTGCAACTTCTTCCATCTCTCATTGTCTCCTTTGCCTTTCGTAAGTTTTCTTCTCTTCTCTTTGTAATCCTATTTTTCGCGTTTATTTTTGATTTAGAATACCCTTGAGTCCTTACTAGAATGGCTAAGCATTTGAAAGACCTCATTTCCGGGTTCCAACGATATTTTTCTATCCCTGATGATGTCCATCTATCTCTAGTGACGGACAATACTCTTGATATGGAGAGGGATGACCAAAATACAATCGTATTTCCTCTCCTATCCATTGCGGAGGGCGGAGTTCGCTTTCCCCTACACCCATTTCTTAGGGCCGTCCTCCGCCATTGGGGTCTGATTCCTTCCCAACCTAATGTGAATTTTTTTCGAATCATAATGGGAATTGTAGAGTTGAACCGGCGCCTTAGGATCAACCTTGGCATTTTGACGATTTGGCACTACTATGCTTTAGCCAAATCCTCCGGTCGGCTCGGACGCTACTTTCTCAGGGCCAAGGACACCGACCATCACTTGGTAACCATGCTTGCCAGCTCTGGCAAACGAGTTGACGATGTAATGGTCAATGTCCGAGGCAATTGGGAATTCGACGAAGGCGAAGATCGCCTAGACCCTATTCCCAGGCGGAAGGATGAACCAGGTTGCCGTGTAACTCCTTGTGTTTATTGATCTTTCTTTTATTTGGCATTTTCTCCAAGTCTAATCCTTTGTTTTTGCAGGCAATAAGTTGAAGAAGATTCTGACCTTGGCTGACGACACAGTCCTTGCGGAAATTAAGACTGCACTCAAGTATTTTGGCCGTCCAAACGTACAAAAGCAAAGGAGAGCCGCCCATATACTCCTACGGTACAAGCCTACTTATACTACGTTCTCGCCCGCGGATGACATACCGATCCCATCCGGTGAACAACACCTTACGGCTCTTATCTTCCCCAGCTTTAAGACCCTTAGGCAAATTGGTTTCAAAGCTTCTGATTCGGAGCAAGACGTAGAGCGGGTGGTTGAGGTAATTGCTGAACCAACGAGAGAGTTCGCTGCGGAGGCCAAAGAGGTCGACGAGGCTCTAAACTCAACGTTTGAGGTAGCCGGTCTTAACCAGCCTGAATCACAGTCCACTTCGGGTCGGGCGGAGTTTTCCTTCGGAGATATTTTTATAAATTTGGGAGACCTACCCAGCGTTTTTTCTGAGGATATGGCTGGGGAAAATCTCACGCAGATGGCGCGAAAGAGAAATGCCGAACGCATGGCCACCCGATGGAAAGCCGAGGCCACCCGTTCTGGACCTGCCCCAATTGAATCTTCACAACCCGTTATTGTAGAAGAAACGGCTCAAGTTGTTGTGGCCGAGACGGATAAGGAAGCCGAACAACAGATTCTAGAAGAACGACTGATTCCAGAAGAGCGGGGCAAAAAACGTACTACTGAGGGAGAGACTGGCTTAGAGGAGAGCCCCACTGACAAACAACCTTGCTTAGAGGAGTCGGATGTGGTTGTTCCTTTCGTTGTTCAACCAAAGATAAAAAACACGACGATCTCCTCTAACGCATCTGTCTTGAAGGATCCAGCTATAGCGTTGAGCTTGGCCGCCTCAGTCTCATTGCCGGCTGATAAGGCTATCTTTCGAGCAGAGCCGGATTTAGTAGCTATAGCGTTAGTTGCCCAGTCGGCCCTTCTGGGATGTGACTTGATCTTTTTTACTCCTTGTTTGGTTTGGTTTGCATACGATATTTCTTGGTATGTGATGATCCCAACTCCTTGTTTTGTAAACGGTTGGAAGGATAACCGAACTAGGTCACCGCCAGCACGATGCCATTGAAAGAATTGGCCGTTTGAAGTCAGAAGCTGAAGGTGAGAGGAGTAGGGCTGAGTTCGAGAAGATGAGAGCCACAATGGAAAGCGCTCGAGCCGAAGCTGAGAAAGAGAGGGCTCGGACTGCTGACCAGCTCAGATCCAATGCCAAGGAGAGGGCAAATGCGAGCGGGGAATCGCTCAAGTTAGCCAAGGAACACTGCTGGAAATTAGGGTTTTAGAGGTGTTTAAAAAACGCCGCTATAAGTCTTAAAAATGCCGTCAAATCTTTTTGTGACGTTTAGCACCAAACGTCGAAGTTGCGGCTGTCGCTATAACTCTATGGCGCTTTAGAAACGTCGCTATACTACTATAGGTGGCGTTTTATAAAAATGCCGCTAAAAGTTCTACTAATTGTAACATAACGTCACCATGCTATTTAGCGACGTTTTTAAAACACCGCCGCATCTCTTTTTACCAACTATTTAGCGACGTTTTTAGAAACGCCATGATAGCCCTTTTTTAAAAAAAAATTGTGCTAATTTTTTTTAAAAATACCTATAATAAAACTAAAATAGTATTAATATAAAATAATAACTCCCATTCATATAGTACTAATATAAAAAAAAATTATGCTAATTTTTTTTCTTTTTTCAATTTACAAACCTCTTTAACATTTTGAATCCTCCTTGTTTCTGATCATTTTTTATACATGTATTAATAGATTTTCATCTTTCCATGGCTACAGGAAAAGCCGGTAACAGTAGCAAAGTGTTGTGATTAGCATTTCACACTAAAACCTAGCATAACTCAATTCAGTGAGCACTTTATAAAGAAATTTACTAACCACCATCATCAGTGAAACAACACATCATCTCAAATCTATGCACAAATAACTGATTTGCGAAGAATTAAAAGTGTACTCAAAATAATTGGATTGTATAGTAAACATAGTACGAGGACAACCCTTACACAATAACAGCAGTACTTTCTTAGGGAGAGACAAATGAGATGGTCTGGCCAGAAACAGACCACAATGAGAGCCCCCTGAACAATGGTTGTCAATATGTAAGTTTATAACCAAAATTTGGAAATGACTTCCATAGTATTCTGACAAAAAGCCAACAGCAGCCCTCAATCCAGATTTGACAAAAACATGCACAATTTTAATGTTTTCAATCCTATGTTTGTTTCTCACCGCCAAAACAAAAGTAAATGAAATGAAAAGAAATGAAATTAGAAACAATTTAACCAAAACAGAAATAAACCTTCTGCAGGCATATTTAAATGCATAACCAAAACAGAAGTAAACCTTCTATAGGCAGATTTGCATGCATATTGGCAGATTGAAAACCTATACTGGACCCAAGCCAGAAGCTGTTTGGAGGTGTTCTTTAGCAGAAGGTTCATCCTGAGGTTTCATGGCCGGAAAGAGTAGAACTTCCTATCCCCAAACCAAAAAACAAAGCAATTGACACTTAAGTAAAAAAGCTCAGTTGAAAAAACTTTCTATTGTAGAATGTGAAACTTCCCACGTCCAGCCAAACACACCCAACCCCAACCCCACCAAACCAACACTACCAATAAATTAAACAAATGAAAAATCACCAGCAAGGAAATCCAAAACCACAAACTGATAACACATGAACATTTCACACAAACCACACAAAGGTAAAACACAAACCTTGATGTTCTGCGAATCTGTCATCATCATTGTTAGTCGGTCAATACCCAGTCCCCAACCACTAGTTGGGGGAAAACCATACTCGAGAGCCGTGCAAAATGTTTCATCCAAAGCCATTGCTTCATCATCACCTGATTGTCGGTCCTGAAATTTAATCATACAAAAATCTTCAGTCAAGGCACCCCACACAACATGACTTTACATGCCACAATGATTCAATTCCTAATGATCATAATACCTTGAGTTGGTCAGCAAACCGTTGGCGTTGTACCACACGATCATTCAACTCCGTGTATGCATTGCAAACCTACGTACAAAACATAGATGGCATGCAAGGAAAAAATATAAATATAAGTAAATATATATATACATAATCCTTAGAAAATCACTATTTTAAAAAAATAACAATAATAAAGAACTAAATAGAAATCCTTAGCTGGAATGACATACTTCACGCTTATTAACAAATAATTCAAAACGTTCAGTCAAGCCTGGTTTTGACCTATGCCACTTTGCCAATGGACTCATAATCTCTGGATGGTTAATAATGAAAGTAGGGTTTACACATGTCTCCTCCAGAAAGTGCCTCACATGCTGCATTCAGAAATCTAATCATTAATCATATATAACACAAAAATTTTGGTCTAATTTTAAGTTGCAACATCATCACTCACAGAATCCATGCTCTGTATTCCTATGATCGAAGTCAACTTAGATTTCATACTAATTTATTTCAATAGAGGACACAATATGAGTAGAAATGAAAAATAAGTCAGCAAAACACTATTCTACTTCTATATTGGAAGTGGCAGATGCATTTTGAAATGAAAGTGCTACTACAAATCGAAGTAAACATAGGAACAAACAAGACCTAAAAAATCACAAATATGCTGGCTAATTGAAAGAGAACATTGGCTGAAGCAACCAACACCAATTTAAAACTTAGAAAGGCTGACTTTAATAATAATAATAATGATGGTATCAATAAAATATCAAAAAAAGAAGGGATTATTAAACAACATGTTGTCTCTTGTACAACAACCCATATTTAGTTATTTTTATTATTTTGGCAGTCCTCATGTCCGCATGACACTTTGGACTCAGATTAGGCAATTCAAGTCCCACCTCTTTATTTTGCTACCATTTAGATGGCATGCCCTTTTACTGTGCTACTACACTTTTCAGTGAGGGACAGTAATGCCATAAAACTAAACCCTATGCTACGCCAAACATAGAAGAATGAAAACTTGCTGGGAGCCTTACTTGCCAACTATATTTACAACTAACTCTTTCTTAGTCTTATCTGCTCCAGTATCAAAATCATAAACGTTGTTGCTACCCATTTTACACAGAAAACAAAGGAGTAAAAGATAGTTCTACTATGAAGATGTTTACAATTGTCTTGCGCATTTTCGAGTCATATTAAACTGAATTCCATAAACCATCTAGGCGTCTTAGTATCACACCTTAAATTTAGACAAGTGATTATAAGAATCGAGGAAGCCAATAACACAATAACGTCTAGTTAATAACCCAATAACAGAAAATACTGAATTTAAAAAAGAAAAACAAAACTAGTCAATCAAAATTTTAATTGATGACTTCGAAGAATTCTCAAAAGATCAAAGAGTAAAAAAACAACTCATAGTGAGAGGAACCAAGGCAACAGAGTAAATTGGTAACTTGATTGCTCTCCATATCAAGATTGCTCTAGCAATGTCCTCTTCCTTTTCCTCTTCATAAGTAGAATTCTTGGAGGAGATGCACTGACATCTATGCCGCCAATTGAGTCGTCTTGTGGAAGTCCTATTGAGATATCAGAACACATAATAGCAACCATAATAATAGCAGAACACATGCTCATTGAAACAAACAAGTATAAAGTGAAGATGTGACTCAATTTGTTCCAATGCCAACAAACTATAGTAGTCATTGGTTCCAAATCATCAAGGACTTTAAAAAATTAATAACAAAATGTGTATGAGACAGTAGAATTTTCTGGAGAATTTATTGTAGCTAATATGCTTTAAGGTTTGTGATGAACTCTGCTAGGAGCATTCTTTCACTTTGAAGTTACTTTATGTTGTATAGCTTATCTTTCACTTTCTATATTTTAGTCAAATCCAACTGTGGAGCCAATAGTAAATTGTTGGACAAGATGATAAAATATGTTGTGCCATAGAATTGAATAGGGAAGACAAAAAAGGGAAGAAATTCATAGAAGGTAGAAACAGGGCTTGCTTATAGTTCAACCTTGCAACTCTGCAAAATTTAATGTGGACTTAAATATGCATGATAAAGATGTATGGCCTTTAAACTCAAATCTACTTATATACTCAAAAGTAGAAATGGAATCAACTATTTAGAGAACTTCTATTATCACATATTCACACACATAAATATATATATATGGTGAAAAATTTAAAGATGCTACACATCTTTAAAAAACGAAAGTGAAATCTACAAGTCATTAACTAATTTTCCTATTAATGAAGTGCAGAAAAAATGAAAAATCTACAAGATTTTCTGTTGGGTAGCTTTGCTTGGCCATGTATTGAAAAATCTACAAGATTTTCAGTATAATGGTTCAAATAAATAAAACCACTCATTAAGATAAAAGGTACTATATGTTATTCCCTGCTCGGAAGATATGCTGTCCAAGTCAACACTGAACCAGTGGTCTCATGCCCAGAAACTAACATTGACAAAAGGTCATCTCGTAATTGTATGCTTGATACCTGCAACACAGTGGCACAAATGTAGAAACAAAGAGCAAAACCTTGCATGTCAATTTAAATGTGAAGAAGCCCATTAAACTGAAAAACCTCAAGCAATTTCTTCCATCATATCCACCAAGAACATAGAGTATGCCATTAATTTCTGCTTAATTTCTTAGCTACAATAGAGAGCATATCCTTTGCATTCTGATCCCAGACTCACATCACATCCTTTGCATTTGAGTTGATAATAAAAATTACTAAATATTACTAGCTTAAAAACTAATCTACACATGAATGACCACACTCATTTATGTTCAAAATCTCTTGGGAAGCTATACCCTCCTCAATAATGTTCTCATGAGAGAGAATGCCAAACATTATCTTGACAATTATCAATAAGAATGTAACAGGGAATTTCTGCACACTCTGGGATCAGAATGTAAATTTCTGCTTAATCTCCCATTTATCAGTCAAAGTTCTTACAAAAAAAAAAAAACTTTCAAAAGCAACAAAATATAGAAATGAAAATACAATTTTACTTATTTAATCTTTTTCTGAATATAATAACAATGAGAATCAAAAGGAAAACAACTGGCAAGAAGAAAGATTTCAACATATAATTCAATTCCATAGATAGCTCCGAAAGGAGGGGAGCGGGAATAGACAACATACTATCATCTCCAAGCAGCTGAAATAAGTTGGTGCCACAAACAACAATAGTTCAACCACATCAATGACTAAGTCTCAAACGAATGAAGAAATGTCTCTAAAACCACACCAAGAATGTATGACAAACATAATTGTCAAATGTGAGCCAAAACTACAATGATAAATATGGGTTAGAAAATTACACCTCCTGAGATTCTTATTTCTCATGGCAACCCTCTCTGCAGCTCGAGAAAGTGCTTCTTTGGGACTTGCTACCACCAGATCATCATCCATGCTGAGTTTTGTCTTCAAGTCATCTGGTAATGCCTGCAAAATGATTAGATCAGGAAAAGGGTGCTTGGAAAAAGACATTAGAAGCTCTGGAAAGTTTCCATACCATAACCTCATCTACAAGTTTCTCCAGCTGTATTTGTTCTATATAAGTACGAGGAACGTATGATCCTTCCAATTCCAACTACTCGGCCACACACTTTACAAGTAGGCGATCTTTTCCTTGCACCTGCAATGAAAATAGCATCCATTTTTAGTTAGAATTTTTAGCTCTAATGAAGAGATTAAAAGTTTAGAACAATTAAGAGACAAAACAATTATGGGGTACGGCTCCATCATTGTACTCTCTAGCAAGAATGATAAAAGGAATATTTCCTTAGAAAATTCCTACTCCATTTAGTTGTTTCCTCCTGAACCACTACCAAGTTGACACTCTATAGTGTGACAAAAATATATGGCCATCTAAAATAAGTAGCCTTAGTCTCACATCACATCTTTTTTTGTAGTTGCCAGAGGTGTCACAAATTCAAAATGCTTCAATGGTAAACAATACTAATGCCAATTAAATAGATAATGATATTTTTGGACATCAAATTTGTTCCATGTTCAAACAAGACGAGTTGGCAAAGATGGTTGGACATACCCGATTACCATCCAAGTCAGACTTCTTCCCAAGTGACTCCATGACCAACTGTTGTAAATACCTACTAAATAATAATAGGCTATCCTTGTAAGGAAGAACAACCATATCTTGTGGAAAAACAAAGAAACCAAAGCATAAATATTTATGAGTTAAACTGCAACATAACATAGGTATCATAAATTATTTGTGAAACTGAAACTGAAGCATAGCAGTGAAATAAATAATCATTTCACATTCAATTATGCAATTTCACATCAAGTGTATTGCATGCACGTGTGTGTGTCTCCACATGAGAAGTAAGAAATCAAAATGTATCCTCCTAGCCAAAACTGGGATTTGAACCTCACTCTGCACAAATTCTGTGTTTCTGGCCAATGAACTTCACTCTGCACAAATTACAACAAAATATTAACCAGCGAATCATGCTTATAAGATAGAAACCACATCCTAGGTTTGAGTTGAGAAAGTGCTGGTGTCCAAGAGAACTCGAAATTAATTAGAAAAGCGCTGCAAAAAGGAAAAGGTTTGAATCCCAAAATTGGCAGAAAATTGGAACACAAATGGAATGTAAGAGGGAAAAATGGGATCTTTGATATTACTGATTATCAAACATCTCTAATAAACATATAGTATGCAATTTGATCAAGCACACACTATGCAAATTTATCAATGCTATTATATAAAGCATGCACAATGTGACTCATATCATGTGTTTTTTTTTTTTTAATGAATGTCCCTCAGAACAGTTTTTCTCATTCATTCCCCAAATTGCTTAATTATGGTTTTTCTCGTTCATCAAACCGCCCCGCAATAATCAAACCCATCTAAAAATTTAAATGTGAAATTAGTACTAAACCCAGCAATGAATCTATTCAATCAGTTTAGTACCAAACCCACATAGGATATGCATAGACTATACACACATACACACATAAGTGTACAGATATGCACGCGCGCACATACACACACACACACACACAGAGGCTATACTGGTATGGAAGAAGGGTAAGCAACGACGGAGATGATGCCGTTTCCTTCTCCTTTTTGCTTAAGAAATTTTGGAATTAAAAAACAATACTTTTTAGAGTAAATTTTAAATGCATTTTCTAAAATTTGTTTAAAATACGAATCGGCCCTATGGCTTTAAAAATTATATTTTCCCCTTGAAATTTCTAATTTCATTACAAATAACCCTTTTATTAATAAATTATCAAGTCAGTTAACAATTTTTAATGATATCATAAATATATTTCGATTAATAATTAAGATAATTTTATTATTATACAAGAAAACAATTAGAAATTTTATTTTTTCAGTTAATTTTGTTAAATAAAAAATTATGACGAAGAGATATTTGTAATTTTTCAAACTATATAAAGTAATTCATATTTTAAACAAACCACAAAGAGTATATTTGTTTTACCATAACTTTTATGTTAGGGAAATCAATGTTTGTTATAGGGTTAGGAAGAGATTATAAGTGATTAAGTAGAACATACTTTTGCATATAGGATTGACAAATTTTAAACTGCGGGCCAAGCAACCAATTCTTGAACATACTTTTGCATATAGGATTGACAAATTTTAAACTGCGGGCCAAGCAACCAATTCTTATAATCTAACCTACCAAACTCAACCCCTCAAACCACAAAGAGTATATTTGTTTTACCATAACTTTTATGTTAGGGAAATCAATGTTTGTTATAGGGTTAGGAAGAGATTATAAGTGATTAAGTAGAACATACTTTTGCATATAGGATTGACAAATTTTAAACTGCGGGCCAAGCAACCAATTCTTAGAATCTAACCTACAAAACTCAACCCCTCACCTTCTCAAACCACACGAGTTGGTGTGAATTGGTGCAATTTTCGGCTGATGTAGTTTTTTTTTTTTTTTTTTTTGGTTTTTTGTAAACCAAATGGGCAATATGAGTCGAAGCGTTGCAACAAAAACAAAAATAATATCCTTGAAATTTCATATATACAATTTAAGGCACTGATGATAAACGTCTTGACCCATCCTATTAAGATCAAACACCTTTCATATTCAGATCTTGCAAGCTCATGGCCACTTGCAAAATTTCCAGTAATTTGGGAACTTTTCACCCTAACGGACCAAATCAAAAGCTACTTAATTCGTAGTCTCTCATCAAATTTATGGGTTTCTTCTCATCTAATTAGCAGCATACAAGACAATAGTTGACTATGGATATCTTCTTTTTACCAAAAAAACTAAAGAAAATAAAATAAAATAAAAAAGGGTTCAACAATGGGTATCCATAATCCTCCATTTCCGTTTGGCATGGTCAAGTAGCACCACTATCTGAGAGGGAGAGCTATGAATGCAGCAACATTGAACGATATTTAAAAGAACCTAATGACCTCTTAAATTGTATCAGCATAATTATAGACAAGTTGAAGTTCAATTTCACTGCAAAACTGCAACTTGAAATCCACCCCATTCCTCCGCAGCTATTTTTAGTTTGAAAGCCCAAGTAACTCTCAAAAACTATGTCATAACATCAGATTATCAATATGCACAGACCAAGCAACGAAAAAACCTCTTACATCTCCTACTTCAGAAATATAGAGGAACATTGGTGGAGAATAGTTCCCATTGAAGATTGGACATCACTAAATATAATATGTCATGCCAACTTCTATAAGGCTAATGTGAGGAATGTTAAGCGCCAGGGCCACTGCAGTTCTTTTAGAGAAATGAATATCCAAAGTCAATAACAAGCTTGTTCAAAAATGACGAAGATCTCCTCGCCTTAACATAAGAATGGCTTATAAACATGAGACCATAACAAATAGCCTACAGTATGCCAGGTTTACACATGTTTCTGAAATAATTTAATTCCATTGATACTATAATAATTTATCAAAACAGTTTAGTCCTGAAACAACAATTCAGTTTTCCAACAATTCAGGGTAGGGGAACATTTATAAAAATACGTAGCATGCAACTACTCACCTGAAAACGGAACAATGTAATCCTCGAATAGAGTATAAAAGTTGAACTGGTGCCCTGAATCAAGTATGAAAACTACACGTCAGTACTAATTTAAAAATACTAAAGAATAAGAACTAGGTAATCCCAAACTAAAACGCACTAACACGGCTCAACCCAACTCACTGTTACTCTTAAATATTACCTAAGCTAATGTTCTTCAAGGTCTAAAATTACACAAGACATGGGTTCAGACCGAAACTTAATTAAAGTAACTTTAAGATAACACCGAGTTTTAAACAAGTTTTCACAATCTATTCGCTAACTTTGAAAATTAAAAACCCACTCCACGCTGTTCAAAAAATTCCAAAACCCTCCAGATATCAACTTATATATCCTAAGTTTCAAACCCAATTGGTTTCACTTGATTTTCTTAACAAAATAATTATTTACAATTAATTATGCCCAAACAGATTGTTTTCGACAGCACTTTAAAGAAATTAATGGTTCTCTTAGTATACACAAACAATCAACGCAAGGCCAAAAATTTAAGAAACTAGACTCGTAACCGGTTTTAATGATGCTGATTTGATAATTTTTGGATTTATACCCAAAGAGAACAATACTTCCGAAGTAACTGTTTTAAACCCATTTTCTGGACAGATTTGAACGCACCAGTTAATATAGATTTTGACTCCCAAAACGTATAAGAAAATTCTGGTATACAATTAAATATGTAATTAATCTACTGTAAAAATTTCAATTCAAAATTCATTCATTTGATATGGTTTCTTGATTTTTAAAGTTTGTGATTCTGTGCAGAATTTTTGGACTAAGAATTACACCCATTCTTTATACGTGAATTTAACTCCTCAGATTTCTTAACAGTATATATATATAAATAAAATACGTACACCTACAACCTCTCCATCAATGAACTAAATCATAGAATAGAATAAGGATAAAGAACAAAAATAAAATAAAGAAAAAAGCTAGAACCCTACTACATACCCAAAAGTTCTTCTTTGATTGCAACTTTTTTTTTTTTTCCTTCTCTTTCAATCTCTCTCAGTTATGGAGACCTATGATCTGATAGAGTGGACATAAAACCCTAAGCTTCCTCACAAACATCTACTCCCACGTTTCTTGATTATATTTTATTCTTTTTTTTTAATCTTTTCACCAATTAAATTAAATATAACTATTAGATCAAAATATACTTAATAATTTGTTGCCTATTATTATTATTACTATTTCTTAACAATAAATCTTAACTCTAAATTAAAGACTTCCACCATAAATTTATTTCAGGTTTTAAAATTAATTAAAAGACCCTCCAAATATTTAATTTGCACTTTAAGATTCACTATCAAAATATTTGAGATTGTGAAATTATTATTATTTAATTATTTACTTGATTTGTATATTCAGGTTCTCACATTCTCCCCACCCCCCTCCCCCTAAAAGAAAAGTTTCATCCACGAAACTAACCTGAATAAATCATGAAAATAGATGTGGGTACTTCTCGTGCATCTCGTCCTCGCACTCCCAAGTTGCCTCTTCAGCTAAATGATTACGCCACAGTACCTTAACCAATTTAATGGCCTTTGTATGCAACATTTTCTCTTTCGAATCCAAAATCTGAACAGCCATCTCCTCATTCAAAAAATCCTCTCTAATTCGAAGCGGCTCATAATCTATCACATGTGACGGACAGTGCACATATTTTCTCAACATAGACACGTGAAACACATTATACACTCTTGCCAACCTAGGGGGTAGAGTAACACGGTATGCAACCTCACCAATCTTCTCTAATACCTCAAATGGTCCAATGTATCTAGGACTCAACTTTCCTTTCCTTCCAAACTTGACGACTCTTTTCCATGGTGATACTTTCAAGAATGCCATATCCCCCACATGAAACTCTAAATCTCTCCTATGATGATCAGCACAACTTTTTTGTCTACTTTGAGCAGTCAATAATCTCTCTCCGATGGTAATAATTTTATGTGTAGCATCCTCCACCAAATCAAGTCCGAACATTTGTCTCTCACCAACCTCATACCAATACAAAGGAGACCTACATTTCCTTCCATACAAAGCCTCATAAGGAGCTACTCCCAAACTAGAATGATAACTATTATTATACGCAAACTCCATGAACGGCAAACAAACCCGCAACATATTTTTCAAGGGTTTGAATAGTCCTCTCTGATTGG